CCTATTTATTCTAAGGTTATCCTCCCCATCATCAGCATCATTCTCAAACCAATACTTTCTCACCTTTGCCTCTATTCTTTCTGCCATTCTTTGTATCTGTTCATCTGCATCCTTCTTCAAAGTAGCAATCACTTCATGAATATCAACAATGGCTCTGCAGAATGTATGTGCAGTGACATATGATGTCCCTGATACAAATAAAAAATTACAAAGAAAATATAAGTGAGAAATCATAAACTTTAACTTTAAGAAATGAATTTTAAAATTTGATAGTTCATTCATTTACATACCTGATACACGAAGAGTAAGATCATAAAAGAACTTCAGGTACTTCATGAGACGCCTAATGCTGCTCCAATCTTCTCCAGATGGAAGACCCTTCTTGGAGTCCACATAGTCTCGAAAGGATGCATCAGTAGGACTATCATACATCAGAGAAAACACCTTCTCAAACCTCTCTGAAGACTCCAACATCAGATAGGTGGAATTCCACCTAGTCGGAACATCCAAGGACACAAGTCTTCTACCATCCATCTCTAGGTAGTCGATGCTAGACTTGAACTTTGCACTCCGAGCTGGTGATGACTTCACCCATTTCACACAATCTCTTACCCTCTCCACAGCAACTCCAACCTCTTTCAAACCATCAGAGACGACCAGATTGATTATATGTGCCACACATCTATACTGCAGATACTTCCCGTCTAGCAAATCCGATCCCCACCCTTTCAGTTTTATCCTCATACAGTCAACAAGCACATCATTGGAAGTGGCATTATCCATTGTCATGCAAAACAGATTCTTCACTTTCCATTCTTGTAGACATGTTCCCAAAGTATCTGCAATATCTCTACCTGTATGACTGGTAATGGGAACAAAACAAATAATCCTCTTCTGCAGTTTCCAATCAGCTCCAATAAAATGTGCAGTCACACACATATAATTCTGGTTATTATCACTAGTCCATGTATCTGTAGTGATAGAAATCCTTCCTTTGCACTTTGAGTTAAAAAACTCAATCAACAGCTCTTTCTTCTCCAGAAAAATGACATAACAATCAGATCTAATTGTTTGCCTTCCAGGTATCACAAACAAAGGCTGTGATACTGCCATAAATCTCCTAAATCCTTCCCGTTCAACAAATCGAAACGGAAGCTCATCCAATATTATCATGATAGCTAAGGCATGTCTAGCTTTGTTCTGATCAAACTTCCACGGAGTAAGAGAGCCTACCTCACCAGTCCCACTAGCTTGATAATTTAATACCGACTGTCCACTAGATTCCTTCGACCTCCTCTCGCACATCAGATGATGGTTTTTCAAACCAGAAGTGCCATTGTTGGAAGAATGAGCTTTGATCAGCGTCCCACACCGTTTTCATTTTCCAAATGGATAGTCATCCACTAGCACCTCATCATAAGGGATCCACCACTTAGACGTCTTCTTCCTCTTCCCCTTGTCTATTTTCTTTTGCACACCAGGTACCTCACCAGCAACACCGGTAGTAGTAGCCGGATTTGCTGCAGATGGAGGTGGATTTGATGCAGATGGAGGTGGTGGATTTGCTGCCAATGGAGGAGGTGGATTTGCCGTAGTGGAAGGTGCACTAGTTGAAGCCTTCCCTTTCTTTGAAGAGCTTCGAGGACGAGGAGGTAGCGAACCAGCTTTCTTCCCTTTTTTTCGTCCTACAAAAGTACAAGAAAATTGACACATAATCAACAAAAGTACAAAACCATAATCAACAAAAGTACAAAATTGACACATAATCAACACTACTGTCTAGTTCACAATTCAAGTTCACTAATTGTCTAATTCAATTCAAGTTCCATGCTTTCAAATTTCAATCAGTAATTCCAAGTTCCATACTGTCTAGTGTCTACTGACTATTCCAATTAAGACCAATTAGGCAATTTCCAAGCTTTCAATCACTAATTCTAATATCTAATTGTCTAATTCAAAGCTCCAAACAGGCAAACACCATTGACAATTTCACATAACTAAACTAAATAACTAATTATCAACTCAAAAATCCAATTCTCGACTTAGTACATTTGGACTTGGTAATTTGTTTCACTTTGGCTGCTGGCGACTGGCGAGTGGCGACTTCTGGAGGCTGGTCGTGGTCGAGGAGCTCGCAGCTCTGCGCCTCTGCCTCTGCCCTGCCTCTGCCCTCTGCCCTCTGTTCATCCAAACCAACAACACAACATAAACAAGGAGGCCAGGAGGGGCAGGGAAGAAGAAGAAAGACGAAGTCGAAGGCAAGAGGAAGAGAAGGGACTTACAGAACGGCGGGCCGGCGGCGACTGGGGAAGACGAAGGCAAGCTTCGTCGCCGGCAACGGGGGAAGATGAACACGTCGTCTGGCAAGGGCTTGAAAGGGCGAACGGCAGAGTCGGAGAGGGAGGAAAATCGGAGAGGGAAGTGGGACTGTGGTCTGTGGGAGTGGGAAGGGTGGAAGGAGGCGTCGTCGGGAGCGGCGGCCTGTGGTCTGTGGAAGGGTGATGAAGCTGCGGCGGCGGCCTCCAAGAATCTCGGCAGCGGCGAGGATGAAGACTGGAGGGAGAGGCCGAGAGGAGCAGAACAGGGGAAGGCGCGATTTAGGGTTTTTCCCCCCTTCTTCGACAACGTCGATTTGTTTTGTGCCTATTTCCCCGACCCCTCACGCAGCGCTGCGTTTTGCCACTCCCCAAACGGTATCCGGTTTACCGGATAACCGTCGGTTTATACCGGGTGGGGAGGCGGTATACCGGCGCTGCGTTTCTACCCCCCGACAACCGAGTTTTCCGGTTTTCGGTATAACCGGTTACCGACGGTTACCGGTTCGGTAACCGGTTATACCGAAAACCGGAAAACCGATTGTCACCCCTAAGAAACAATGCGCCCCAAAAGATGGTTCCAGACTTCCAAGAGCTGCACATTTCTTAGAGGACATGAAATAAGAATTGAATTACAGAGAATGAAATTGGGTTTTGGATGCGAGAGGCGGAGCTAAAGAAGCTGAGCCATGCCAGTGAACAAGAATTGAGGTCGAGAAGGATGCCGATGCGGAGCCAGAGAAGGGTTGATAGGAGAAGCAGATCAGCAGCAGGGGATTGAGAAATAGAAGGACAGGGTTGGTGACTATTCTTGATGGAGGGATAGTAGTAGATAAAAGGGTTAATATTTTTGTATGTTCTGAACTTTGACCAAAATAAACATCATAGCCAATCTTTTCGATCTATAACATCCTAGCCCGAACTATACACCAAAATAAATAATTTGGCCAGATCCAACTTTTGACCGTTAACTTGGACGGTCAAACGCGCCATATCACTACCAAGTCAGCATAAAATATTTAGAATAATTCACAATTTCCACACATTTCCTAATTTTAAATTATAATAAATTAAAAAAACATCTAATACCTTAGTTAAACCAAAAATAAAAAACGAAAAAAATTAAATATTTATCAGATCTTCTGACTTGGCAGTGACGTGGCGCGTTGACCGTTAGTCAACGCATTTGACCGTCCAAGTTAACTGTCAAACATCGAATTTGGCCAAATTGTTTATTTTGGTGTATAGTTCGGGTCAGGATATTATAGATCGAAAAGATTGATCAGGATATTTATTTTGGTCAAAGTTCAGGCCATACGAAAATATTAACCCTAGATAAAATTATGAAAGTAAAAATTTGGGGCGGAGGGACTCGAAGGGGGGACCTCATTAAATGGGAATGGGGGAGGAATCCGCATCCCTCTTTCCGGAAACAATAATATTGTGTTTCCTGGAATTATCATTTTTTTGTGCCAAATTGGTTCATCAAATGGAAACATATGAAAAAAGGAATGAAAAGTGAACGCTTTTTTTCTTTTCATTTTTATTTTTATGGAAACGGAAGCAGAAAACTGGAATGAGAATGGATACTAATAAACTGGAATCGATTATTTTGAAAATCAATGATGACCAAAATGTACTAATTTTCCAAATAATCGACAACTACCATTCGATTTTTGAGATGACCATCAACCCTAATAATCAGCTTATTCAATAACGATTTGCTGACCACCATATTAGCCAGAATTATTTGTGTGTTTTTTTCTTTCTTTCTAAATTGTTAAGTTAGCTGTTACTTGTGTGTTTTCTGATATATATAAGATTATCTTTTGTAAAAAAAAAATTTAAATAAATAAATAAGTTAGCTGTTAGTGTTCTTACTTTCTTGGTCAACTGGTTTTTGCAGTAGTTGATTAAATTAATCGATTGATTAGTTTGATTCTTCTTCTCGCAGGCCGATTCCATGGAGGAAGCCAGTTCGATTGAATCAGCCGACCAAGTTCCGCAACAAAAACAGAGAGTAGAAATCCACCACGCAGAGAGGAGCTTGTGCGGACTCTCGACGCCATTCTCCCGATTAGACAACTGCAAAAAAGTCAACTCTCCAATTTTGACTTCGATTGCGGTCCCGTTATTCTTCCCCGTAGCATCACGTCACGAGACACGGAGACAGAGACCCACATCTTTCTTTAATTTGGGTGGCGTGCTGTACATCTAAGATTCCCCTTCCTAGTATCCATTGACATCAGAATATAAATATACCATCAGAAACTCAATTTACAACTGCGAAAAGCCAAACGAATGTACCCTGCCAAGAAAGAGTCTTCTCCTTCCACCGCACATTCAAGCGACCGCCGCCTGACCTCCGATCTCAATTGTGGCAACATCGGCTCCAATGCCCACAAGCCCAAGAAATCAATGACGCGCCGGGTCTTTACATTCTGGGTTCTTCAGCTCTGCCTCCTACACATTGCCGTTGCTACGCACTCGAGCAACCAGACGGATCGGCTGGCGTTGCTCGAGTTCAAGTCCAAGATTTCCAGCGACCCTTTGTGAGTTCTAAGCTCGTGGAACGATTCCACTCATTTTTGCTTTTGGGGCGGCGTGTCCTATTCCAGACGACACGTCCGAGTCACGGTCCTAGACCTGCATTCCAGTAGGCTCTCTGGCTCCATTTCTCCACACATCGGCAATCTCACCTTCCTGAAGAAGCTCGACCTCAACAACAACACATTCCACGGCGCAATCCCGCCAGAAATTGGCCGGCTACGCAGATTGCGGACTCTGTTTCTATACAACAACTCGTTGGGCGGCGAGATTCCGTCCAACATCTCGGGATGCTCTGCTCTGGCCGAGGTCCATGTCAGAAATAACAAATTGGTGGGAAGCCTACCTCGGCAGCTCGGCTTCTTGTACGGGCTTCAATTCTTTCACGCGGGAGGAAACCGTCTAACAGGGAGCATCCTTCCTTCTTTCGGCAACTTGACATCTATCAGGATCCTAGCATTAGGCGATAACCAATTGAGTGGAAGAGTTCCTGAGGCTCTAGGAAAACTGAAGAAGAGCCTTGAGGAACTGCTGCTGCATCGTAATTACTTAGACGGTGAAATCCCTTCTTCCATTTTCAATCTTACTCTCCTTACACTTCTCTCCCTTGGAGAGAATCGACTCCACGGAAACCTTCCGTGGAATCTAGGAACATTACTTCCGAATCTTGAGAATTTTTACGCGCCATTTAACCAACTCACTGGTAGTCTTCCACCTTCTTTGTCCAATGCCTCGAATATGGTCCAACTTCAACTGCAAGTCAACAAGTTTACAGGGAGTGTGCCTAGTATGGCTAGCTCTCACAACCTTCTGCGTATAAACATTGCCGAAAACTTTCTTGGAAGTGGCAAGGTTAACGGTGATGATTTGAGTTTCCTTTCTACCTTGACAAATGCAAGAAAATTGCAAGCCCTGGTCATCAACACCAATAATTTTGGAGGCAGCCTACCGGAGCAAATTGGCAACTTGTCATCCAGCCTTGAGATACTTGTGTTGGATGACAATCAAATATTAGGAAGCATCCCAGAGGGCTTACGAAACATGTTCAACATGCAATGGTTTTGGGCAGATAAGAACAAACTATCAGGTACAACAATACTATCCATTATCGGGAACATGCAAAGTTTAGTGCAGTTGCGTTTGGACAACAACAACATTGCAGGATATATTCCTTTGTCTATTGGAAACTTGGATAGATTGCTCGTATTGCGCTTGGCGAATAACCATCTAGAAGGAGAAATTCCTATATCTATTCAGAATTGTAGAAGTATGATACTTTTGGACTTATCAAACAACGATCTCAGTGGCGTCATTCCCCCACAACTCATGGGTCTTACTTCCTTATCAATGAACTTAAACTTGTCTCATAATCATTTTGTTGGCAGCATCCCCATCGAAGTGGAAAATCTGAAGAACTTGGGCTCATTGGATCTATCCTACAACATGATATCAAACAACATTCCAAGTAGCCTTGGTAAATGTGTCAGCTTGGAGTTTGTGCAATTGCAAGCCAACCTCCTCAGAGGAACAATTCCTTCGTCCTTGGATTCATTAAGAGGTATTCGACTATTTGATGTTTCAAGCAATAACTTATCTGGTCAAATTCCCAAATTCTTTGAGAAGATGAATTCTCTACAATTATTGAATCTGTCTTATAACAAGTTTGAGGGTGAAGTGCCAGCGGCGGGAGTTTTGAATAATAGCAGAATCATTTCAGTCATTGGAAATGGCAATCTTTGTGGGGGATTCGCTGAACTTAACCTTCCACATTGTAGTTTCAGACAACCAAAGAAGAAATTGAGCTATAAGTGGAAAGTTTTTATATCAACCATCTGTAGTATCGTGCTCTTGTTCTTTCTTGGGACTTGCTTGCATGTCTTTTGGATGAAAAGGAAAGGTAAACTACATGTAGTTTCCAGTGACGATGATTTCGACACTCGAGTATCTTACCAAAGTCTCCATAAAGCTACAAACGGTTTCTCCACAACAAATCTTATTGGTGTAGGCAGCTTTGGTTCCGTGTACAATGGAGTTGTTAACATTAATGGAAAAGAGACCACAATAGCTGCCAAGGTATTCAACCTTCAGCGTCGTGGAGCTTCCAAGAGTTTCATGGCAGAATGTGAAGCATTAAAGAATATCAGACACATAAATCTTGTGAGGATATTGACAGTATGTTCAGGTGTTGATTATCAAGGGAATGATTTCAAGGCTCTAGTCTATGAGTTTGTGGTTAATGGAAGTTTGGAAAATTGGTTGCATCCAGTGGAAAGTTTTGATGACCCTCCAAAGACTTTGAAATTCCGTCAACGGGTAACTATTGCAATTAATGTTGCTTCTGCACTAGATTATATTCATAACCTCTATGAAACTCCTATTGTTCATTGTGATATTAAACCCGACAATGTTCTCCTCGATGATCATATGGTTGCTCATGTTGGTGATTTTGGATTAGCAAGGTTTCTTGAATCATCAATTGAGAATCTCTCTTCTGGTGGCGAGAAATCTAGCTCCATTGGCATAAAAGGGACTGTGGGCTATGCGCCTCCAGGTATTCACTCCTCGTTGCTATTAGAATTATATCTTAGAGTCCCGTTTGGTTTAAAAACTAAAATTATAGAGATAAACCATTTTTTTTGCAAAGTAATAAAAAAATAGTAAGATCTCATACTAAATACATTATCCCATTTGCTTGAGTGGTTTGTTAAGGTTATATTTAAGATTTTTTCCATTGATAATATTTTCTCTAATCTTGTTTAATTGTAGAATATGGTATGGGAAATGAAATTTCAGTTGAAGGCGATATGTACAGTTACGGGATCCTCCTACTTGAGATGTTCACAAGAAGAAGGCCAATTGATGAATCTTTAAAAGACGGTTTAAACCTCCATAATTTTGTGAATGCTGCTTTATTAGGACAAGGATCAACAATTGCAGAAGTTGTGGATCCAACTCTACTCAATGAGCTACTACTTGGTCGAATCTCGGAGAAAGCTCTAATTTGCATGCTTGAAATTGGTGTTGCTTGCTCTTTCGACTCCCCGCAAGAGAGACTAAGTATCAGTGAAGTTTTGTCAAGGCTAAACAAGCCACTTGTTTGATGGAATTGCTCAAATCCTAAACTTAAAGGTGTTCAACTTGCAACTCTTATCTGCATCTTTGGTCTTTGAGTCATATATTTGGTAATTGGTGTTATTTTGTTAATGGAAAACTATTCACTTTACATGGCAGCACTTATGTGAGTTGTATTTGTGCAATAAAATTATTTATGGGTCTATATATATAGACAATTGTATTAAAATGTCAAATAATTACAAGTAAGACCCACTTAATAGAGTGGTTTCCAAATAATTTTTACTTGTAAGTATTTGAGTTGCAAATAATTACAAGCGACGACCTTAGGGGACGCGGCGTCGCTGCTAGTGAAGGCGGCGACGAGCAAGGGCACGGGCGTGGGCAGCAACCCTAACGCCTCTGGAAAGGCTGGCAAGGATAGCCTGGTCCGTGCGGGTCAAGGCTCCGAGGGCCCATCATTGGGTTCGGGCCTATTACCAACTCCTTCAGCCCAGGAGATCGCGACAGCTCGAGGAAAAGACAATTCCCAAGGTTACGAAGGTTAACCCATAATGATGAGGCCCGACGAAGTGAAAGGAGTATCGGGCCGACTAGGCCAATGGAACGAGGACGAGCTCAGTCTGGCTGGCCACAGAGGAACACGGGTCGACCCGGGCCCTTCGGGGGTATGTAAGACCTGGACTTCTGACACAAACCAGGCCAGGTAGGTTTGCCCGGAACCGACCAGTAGAAAAGGAATTGGTCAGAACTAGTTCGAATCGGGTCAACCCTACTCAACCTAGACGTCAGCGAAGGTCGTGCGTGGGGAGGAGGAAGCTACAACTGCCCCTTCAACCTGATGTACCCCGCTAGTGACATTGGGAGTAGAGTGGGTGCAGGATGATGGAAGATGAGAGCAGGGTTAGGACTCAGGTACTGGGCCAAATGGCTTCGAGGAGGACATGAAGGGAGAAGATGGTTGGTATTTTCCTCATCGGGTGGGGTACGACAGTGCGAGAGACTACCACAGGGGTCCAGGTCACTACCGACAGGGCAAGGACATGTATGACTGTTACAACACTCTGTATGATGTGGATTATGATATAGTGTTTAAGGTCAAGCCTCCTGTGATTGAATTTTTGAGGTTTGATGGACATGGTGATGTGGGGTTATGGGCGTATGCAGCAGAGAGGTGATTTCGGAACCACTCCATCAGGGAAGAACGGAAGACGCGTATAGCATCTTTCTATCTAGAGGGAGATGCCCTGCAGTGGATAGAGAGGTCTAATGTAGCAATCGGGCCAAGATCACCTGAAAGATGTTCCAAGAGGAGCTTAAGTATCAGTTTGGTAAGTCAGAGGGATGGGATCGGAGCAGCTGGCTAAACTAAAGTAGACAGAGACTGTAGCAGAGTACCAGTCAGAGTTCCTGAAGTTAGGAAACCAATGCAAGGGCATGACGGAGGAGATTATGCATTGGGTGGGCTGCGACTTAAATTGCCAACCTCAGTCAAAGTCTTTTAGCCTGATTCCATTTGAGTTGCTTTTAGACTTGCAGGTCGGAAGGAGGAGTTAGCCAGTCGGAAGGGGCACTACGGGAAAAATGGCCTCTTGCAACTCCAAAATTGTGTTGCGTAAAGTCAAAAAAGAGTTGCAACATACAAACGCAACACTTTTACTGGGGTTGCATATAATGGGGGTTGCAAAAAGAATAGGCAACAGTTTTTTAAATTTTCGCAACTAAAACAAAAAGGGTTGTGTATTCTCACCACTTTGGCAACACTACTTTAGGCAACATATTTTGAACATTTCGCAACACATTATACGAGCATAGACAACATTTTTACAAGTCTTTGCAACATTTAATTTTTGTATCTGTGACGAGTTCAAATTGTCACGAATAGTTAAACCAATTGTGATAACTTTGTTTGTAACAGATAATAGTATTTGTGTGACAATATTTTCGTCAATTAAAATAATTTTTGTGACGAGTTAGTGTCGATGTGAAAACAATAACAGTGACATGTTTGATTGTCATAAATAACTTATATTTGTGACCATAGTTGTGTCTCAAATAAGATATTTTGAAAATTTGTTACAGTTTAAGCTAAAATATTTTGCCACTAAAGTAATTATCAATGACAATTATGATTCTCACATATACAACACTATTTGTGATCAATCATAGTAAATTATTATATAATAGAATCAAACTCTAGAAATAATAGATAACACATTTCTTTAAGCTGCAATCTTCTTGCCAACAAAACTTATTAGTATTTGAGAATAATATTTGAGAACAATAATGGGTACACAATATGCTTTGCTCTTATCATTCCTCTAACTTGTAGAATCCATCCGCACGCTATAGTGATCACATATCTACGAGATGCTTTGCTTGAAGATCAACTTATATACACGTTCTTCTGATTTCTTACTTTTCTCTTTCAAGTTTCATCAGTATGAAACACATGAACTTTAGGCTTCTCATGCTCTTGAATTTTCCTATATACAAGAAGCTCAAGAATATTAGATATGTAAAATAATTCATATATATATATAATAAAATAACCAACAAACAGAAAAATTATAAAAATGAATATACCTTTATTAAGAAACACATTTGCTCATCAATAGCTTCTCAAACTCATCTCAACTGAGGAGGTCTTATTATAAGACCACAAAAACTTATCAAGAGCCTTTGTATTACCTTCCTCTAATTTGGTTATAACAATCCTCTCTATACTAACTAGGTCTTAGATCAAAAGATTAATTTGTAAAAAACTAATTGCGGCTATCATTAATTATATTTCTATTGGGAAATCCTAATCTGAGTTAGCTAGAAAATTACATAAAAATGAAGAAAAGTAGAAGAACATGATAAGCAAACACAATATTAGGTATTAACACCAAACAAAAGCAAAACAACTAGCAAGATTCGTACCTTTTGGAGACTCTATATCAGTTTCAAAAGATTGTACGAAGGAAAATGCTTTTCATAATTACGTAGGCGTCATCTGTGTCCTATCCGAACTGTAATCATCATCACGAGACTTGATCCTCTGTGTCTTTTTGTTACTCTTCTTATGTGTGTGCGTAATTAGTGGTCATAGCTATTAAAATTCAACAACAAAAATTTATAGATCCAGGCACACTAAAACGTTTAAAAATAGGAGAACAGAAAACTGTTAGCATCATATATGTATATGCGTACTCCAGCCATCCAGCAATCACGCTAGAGGATAGACAGAGGTTGCAGACCATTAGTTTGCAGAGAGCCCTCGGAGATTGGCAGGCGCCTGCAAAAGAGAAGAGGTTTTTTTTTATCGGTGACCTGCTGCAAAAGAGAAGAGGTTAGTACTTAGAGGAAGAGTTTTTGTGATGGTGGTGTATTGAATAAAGGGTTTTTGTATAATACGAGATAAGGAAATAAATTAATTCGCTAATTAAGAGATGAGGAAAAGGAAATCACGGAAGATCTTTTCTCCTTCTCAATAGTTTGTTTCCTTGTTAGTTGTTACCCAATATTTGGGTTTATCAGTTTTTATTTAACTTATTAATTTACTTTAAGCGAACAATTGACATCTTTTTGCAACACATGTAAAAAAAATGTTGCAGAAACTATACAATCGGGCAACATAAAATTTATTTGTGATATATGTGTTGTGTATAATAGAACAAACGCAACATATGACTAATTTGAGTTGCGTAAACAACTCAATCCGCAACCCCATAAAAACGTGTTGGCGTTATATATATAACGCAACACTTTCAAATAGTATTGTCACTCGGGTGTTGCAAGAGGTGCATTTTCCCGTAGTGGGGAGTGTAGGGCGCTGGTCAAAGGGTGCGAGGGGAGCAGAAGCCAAGGCGAGCACAACGGCGACCTTAGAGGACCCACCTGCGACCGCAACGAAACTGGGAGCTTAAAACCCGGTGGCTTCCAGGGCGCCATCTGGTCGGCACATTCCAGCTCGGCTATCGCCGAAGGGGTTCGTGAAGAGACAACCGTCGAGATGGAGCAGAAGCGCCACGATGGGCTCTGCTTCAACTACGACGAGAGATATATTGTGAGACATCAGTGTGCCAAGGGTCATTTGATGGTGTTGGTGGGAAACTTGGAGGATGAAGGCGAGGAGATGACGACTAAAGAGATTGCAGAGACGAAGGAAGAGGAGCCGCAAAATTGAGGCCAACTTTGAGGGCAAGGTTGGTCTCAAGGAGGGCCGATGGTTAGAAACATAAATTATGCCCCTCTTATCTATTTTGGACTTGTTTATCATTTATTTCTATTTTGTGGATTTTTTATGTTATTTGGGGGATTTCGGGAGTATTTTCATGTTTTGGGTATTAGACGTTAATTCGGGTAGTTATAGGAAATTTATTGGCCTTATATATTATGTACTAGTGAGATTTTTCTCATTAAATAATAACAAAATAATTATCCCATAAGTCTAATCTCTCTTTTCGTCGTGAGAATCACAAACTCCCTTTTTCTTTCCCTATCCAAACCGTCGACCTCCTCCTCCCTAGGGGTGGACGAATTTCCTTCCTCTTCTTCCTCAATCAAATCTCTAATTTTGTCCCTCTTTTTTTGAATTATTCGCCAATCCCAAACTCTCAATTCCTAGCCGTACGAGCCAAGATCCTTGATTCTTACACAAAGACCCATTTGTATAAACCCCATGGCCTTCTACTTTTCAAATTCGTAATCCAGGCCAAAATTATGGCACCATTCACAGGTTGGTGGGCACGTTTTGTAGTTAATTATATCCACAAAATTATGACATACTAACGCCAAACACCACCACAGTTTTTACTAAATAACCACTACCCACTACGATTTAGTATGGGTTGGTTGTGGTTACCCGCAAAAACTCATCTTTGCGGGCGTGGAGCGGTGAGCCGCCACTAAAGAATATGCTATTCACGATTATACAATAATGATATACTATCGTGTTGTTCATGAAGATGAAATTTTGTATATCTTACTGTACCTCTATGCGTAGGGGTTTTGCCTTTTCGAGTTTGTCATTTGACTTTTCTGT